GTTGTCAGGTAGCCATGATACCAGAGCCTGTCTGTATAATGTCTTGTGACGTCCACGGCCTACCCCAGTTACCACTACTGTGCGTGTGTGTCAAGGACAGAAAGGCAGATGTGGCAGTGGAAGGTGTCAAAGCAGTTTGGAGAGAAAAACAAAGAACCAAAAACAAAAAGAAAATGATTAATCGATTATTAAATTAGTCATCGATATTTTAATAATCGATTAGCTGTTGATTAATCGATTAATCGTTGCAGCCCTACTACAAACTAACCAAGTTTGATCTCAACAACTGAGGTGTGGACAATGATGTGTTTCCTAAGGTCACTTGGATGGGGCGGCCATCTTGAATCAGTTCTGGACTCGAATCAAATGACTTTGGTTCATTGCAATGATGTCAGTGATTTATGAACCATTGTGTAAACAGAACACACACACACACATACACACACAAGGATACGTCCATGACTGCCACCATGCTCCTGCAGGACTCGATGGTGAAACCATCGGTCTTCAGGTCTGCATCTGAAACACAAACGTCTTCCATGAGGTCACCACAGGAGGACACAGCAGCTAATGTCTCACTCAGCTTCACGAGACATCACCCAAATGTCAAAATATGTGCAAAACTTCTCAGTTTGAGTTGTGACTGAACTAGTCAGAATTGAAGCGGGCGTCTGAAACCCTCCTCAGGTCTCTGCAGCTGTATTCTGACCCCTGCAGAAAGCATACCCGGGTCTAAAATACCCTCTGATGATAAATAATGATTAAAACCTGGTCTGAAGCACCCGCCCCAGTCTGCTGGTTGAGGAGGACCTGTTGCCTTCATTGGTTAGATTCATGGCCATGCTGGAGAACACTGTGCTTGCCCCTCCCCCTGTAAACAAATCTAACATCTAACTGAACTAATCTGTAAACTGATGAGTGAAATTTCGGAAAGATCTTACGTTTCCCAATTATCCTGTTGAGGATGTTCATCAGCTCAGCCGGGCTCACCTCCATGTCCTGTGGGACAAATATTTTAATCAAAGAACTGCAGAAACATCCTTCAACCAGTTAACCACCAAGAATCAAAGAGCATCACTCACATCACCAGCTAGCTGCTGGAAAACTCTACGAAACTGTTTCTCCTCATCGCTCTCATGCTGCTCTGCATAGGCAACCGGCCTGCGAGGGGGGGGCTGTGGGACAGGGGGCATCAAGACAAGGTTAAACCCACTGACAACATTAGAATGATGGCATCAGATCTGTTACTTACAGGCTGCGAGGGAGTGAACTGCTCTGGGTCAATGTTGCTGCAAAGATAGAAGAATAGATTCAAACACCAGACTGAACCGATTCGTTTTTTTTACACAGAAGACTGAACTGATTCATTTTTACAGACACCAGACTGAACTGATTCATTTTTATACACAGAAGACTGAACTGATTCATTTTTATATACAGAAGACTGAACTGATTCATTTTTACACACAGAAGACTGAACTGATTCATTTTTACAGACACCAGACTGAACTGATTCGTTTTTACACACAGAAGACTGAACTGATTAGTTTTTACACACAGAAGACTGAACTGATTCATTTTTACAGACACCAGACTGAACTGAACCAATTCATTTTTACAGACAGAAGACTGAATCGACTCGTTTTTACAGACAGAAGACTGAACCGATTCATATTTACAGACAGAAGAATGAACTGATTCCTTTATACAGACAGAAGACTGAACTGATTCCTTTACACAGACAGAAGACTGAACTGATTCCTTTACACAGACAGAAGACTGAACTGATTCCTTTATACAGAAGACTGAACTGATTCCTTTAAGACTGAACTGATTCCTTTAAGACTGAACTGATTCCTTTGTACAGACAGAAGACTGAACTGGTTCATTTTAAAAGACAAAGGTAGAAATTCAGAGGCTGAGGCTCTGCCGCTACATCAGATAAACATCTCTGGGCTCCTTTAGTCGGCTTAATCACATAGTGGGGGTGGGGGGTTCTTGGACTGGGCCGTGTGGGGCAGT